CGTGTAGTATGCTTTAGTTCTCACGAAATCGTCCATGAATAACAACAAGGCAGGAGGCAGTGAGTGGTTGAAGGCCGTTGTGGGATGTTTGGGATCCGATTTTGTTGACCCATTCTGGGCACCATTTGATCGTTTTTTATCTTGCATAATCATACCAGCTTTGAGGGAAAATCTTTTTGAAGAGGGGAAGCCTGATACGATCCAAAATGGTCGATTATACAAGTCTCAGTTGCTTGACGAAGAAGCTATCTCAATTGGCCAAAGAAGGGTGAAAATCTAGTTTTGTGTTTTGGCAGTTTCAGGGTGCCTACTTTGGGAGGCCATAAAGTACAATTGGCTCAATGGAAATGCAAGGTTAAGGGCTTGTATTGAAGATGGAGTAATTATACACACATTGGTATGCTTGGTTGCTCAAGAATAAGTCAAGAAGATTATTTTCCAAACTGTTCAAAAGTGTATGCCAACATAGGAAAACTGCCAGAAAATAGCTTAAGTATAAAACCGTGGCTGTGAAGCCCACTTTGGAGATCAATTTGAGGAGCATGGATGAGATTCGAGTAGAGGCTTCTACTTCTATCACATGAAAGTAGGTAAGTTTTCTACAAATGCAAGGAATTGGATGAAGTATTGGATACCTGGAAGGCTTTGAACGAAATGCACGAAGTAATTAGTGCAAAATCACAGAATTTCTGCCTTTGTAAAACAGAATTGGTTTTCCTAGTTCAATTAGGATTAGTTTTTTTTTTGTTGCTATTTTTTAGTTCTTATTCGTATGAGATTATTCTTAGGACTTATGTGGACGTGTGTAACCCGAGCTAGGCATATTTAAACTTCTTGTTTCGTTGTAATCGTCAGACTTTGATTAATCGAATTGAGAACCTTTTGGTTTTTGTGCAAGTTGCGACTTGTGTTAGGTTTGGTGGATTTCAAGCTCGTGAGCTCTTGTATTGATTGAATAGTCACTTCAATCGTGGTCGGGTATCTATCTTTATATCAATCGAGTCTTTCCCCAGGTGTGGAATTGCACGTTTGATTCCGTTTTATCCCAAACACCCAAGAACATCCGTTTGTGGTTCGAGATTCGTTTTAATCAATCCAATCGTTGGATTGATTGTTTTGCTGCGTCCTTTGATAAAAATCCAATCCCCCAGGGTTGTATTACTACCAACTAGTTTATTTTCTTAATTTTGTATGAATTTTACATATAATTCTACCTATATTTCAAATTTGGTGGACTGCAACTCCTTTTGACGTTAATCTAACTTTACCACTGATACTACTTGATATTTATTTTTACCAGAACGAACAAACAAAACAACATGCTCACATAGTAAACTAGATTGCTACATAGCTTTACTCTAAATACCTGAAGTATCGTCTTTTTTACGGGATGTGGTCAAGGAATGTATTTATATAATGGAGTCAAGTAAGATTTGATTCACAAATTTTCACCATAGAAAAAAATTGTTTCATAGAGTTATGTAGGAGCGACATCCAGCAAGGGACCGTCTGAATTGGGCCATGGCTAGAAGATGTTAATATGGTCAGTTAGTATTAGAGCTACTGAGAGTAAGAAATGATTATTGGAGTGGAAACCTGATAACACCATATTTACATATGTTTTATCCCTCTTTTCTTGATTGTTTAGCGTGGTGTTTATCATATTTTAGCATATTTTATGCTAGGTTGTGTTTCTTTTTCACATTTCAGGTCCTGACACGTCAAGTGAAGCATATGTGCAAGTTTCAAGTCAATTGGAGATCAATTGGCGACTCGGGGGAAGAAACTCATGCATGACCAGAGTAAGCATGGATTCATACTTCATTTAATGGACAAAAAATAATTTAACCTTGTCATGAAAAGAAAGAGGACGAGACTTCGAGCGTCTTAGATCAAACGGCACCTGATTCGAAGTCTGAAAGAGGGAGAAATGAAACATCAAAGATAGTGGAACAAGAGCTGGGAATTACACGGGTTGGAAGGCGAATTTCCCGCCCGGGAAATTTAAGGACCATATAGGGGGAAATTCTAGTAGCTAATCCCTAGTCTGGAATCTAAATTACCCCATCAGGGAATATGAGTTTTGGCCACCAAACACCCAAAGGACGAACTCTTTGATGGCGATTTTGGAGTCTTGGAAGCTCGAGAAAAAAGCCCTGAGTCGAAGATTGGTCATCTGAAGATTCTTACTACAGTCTCTCTCTTCTCTATGGAGTACATTCCTTCACTTAGGTTTTGAGGAAACCTAACTATGTTTGCTTGATTCGATGATTGTATGAGTACTCCTACTTGATAATCTTGAGTTCATATTCAATCTATGCATGTTTTCATGATTCAACTCTGCTTTAGGAGTTATTGATTCTGCTTTGATCGTATGAGGTGAATACCTGATTAGGTCAATAGAGAAACATAGATTAATAGTTTTGGATTGATTGCTTTAGTCGATGGTCGATTCACTACTTTGTATCGATTAAGAACCTCATTCGATAGAGGGAATCTAGTTTAGAACTCCTTGATCGGTTGTTCTAAAGAAGAATATGTCACTCTATGCAATAGACTCAAGAGGGCCTTGACTTCTTTAGTCGAGATTCAAGGTCTAGTCAAGGATTCTCTGCATTGTGAATGAAAGTGAACAAGAAAAAGATCATCAATTATTAATCTAGCTAGTGACTAGTGGCTAGGGGGAATCATACCTAAGTGAGTTCCCAAACTGTAATTAGTAGTCTAACCTAGATTAGCTTGTAGAGTGGTTTAGTTAATCAAACCTTAATCTAATTTGCTAGATAATGAACGGAAGCTGAGTAATAGTACATTCTCTATCGTTGATCTCCTTATCTCTCACACCAAACACCCAACTCCATTGAGTCATCTTCATCTATCTTCAACTTCGAAATCGCCACTTGCAATCCGATTCACCAATCATCGAACCATAACCACATCGATTAGCTTTAGAAAATCCCAAACAAAATTCGTTAGCCTCGACTTCGTACATTCTACACACATATAAGTCCCTTCTTGACATCCCCAGATGGAAGCTTACTTGTTCATATCTAATAACACAACCAAGACTAATCCTCTCTTCCCTACCATACCAACATTGATCTTCAATTTATAGGAAGAGAAGGGCGAAGGGAAGAGAAAGAGGATCTAGGTTGGGCTATGGGTACCCGACCCGACCCAACCCTGCTAATGCGGGTAAAAACTGCTTTGACGGATTGAAGGCCAGATTTGGGTTTAAACCCGCTATACTTTTTGCATATTGGGTTAGGTTTGGGTTTAGCTATATCCAACCCGGATACCCGCACCCAAATTCATACCCTTCACGACCCACGGAATGCTTAACTAATTAACTATAATTTCTATACTAATTCCTCACATGTTCAATTAATCATATTGTTTGTGGATGTTTATTTTTAATATTGAACTATTAGTATCAATGATTTGTGAGTTAGTGTGTATGTAGTAGACAACAGTAGTGAAAACTAGTGTAATTCTATCTTTGTACATGAACTCATGGGTACCCATGAACCCGCGGATACCTAGCGTGTTGGTCTGGGTTTAATTTTTCAAAATCCTGTGGGTTTTACCCCGAATTTTTTTAATGAATAAACCCATGGGTTTGGATTTGGCATAACCCGCCACAACCCGACCCATTGTCATCCCTAACAAAGGGAAGAAAGAGAAAGGGTCTTTTTTTTTTTTAATGGAGACATAATATATGGAAAATGGAAGATGGATCAAATGTCGTAGGTTTTTCATTCTAAATTGCTTGTAAACTTATATGTACCATTAATTTGAAAATAGGAAGAAAAAAAGGAACAGAAGACTAAGCTCTTAAGAGTTGTCACAATATCCCATACCTATTAGGGCTTATTGGAAAATGACGGAAGGCAAGTAGTTGGCATAGAGGATTTATCAAGCATAACGAGGTAAGAAAGTCCACAAAATTAGTGGCTCCTATAAAATTGAAGAACTGTTCAATACTTTAGGTAAAACTGAAGCGCATTCCATTTTGCATTGTCCAATTAGGCAAAGAAGCAAAACATTATATTGGACCAATTTGGAACTTCCAAAAACATGTTTGTGAATTGTGATTGCATAGGCTAAATAAATGTCGGCCAAATTACACCTTACAGTCTGAGGTATGTACAACAAAGTTGTTTATATTTCATCATGTGATGAAATGTGGGAGACTACGAGAGATGTTAAAATCATAATGTATTTGCCATTCACATCATTATTTCTTAGCATTCTTGTAGTAGTGCAGAATCTGTCTACTCTGACCATTTTCACTACCCAAATTGGGAATGAATCTCTATTTCAACGATAGATTTGAACTTTAGGAGGGTTGAGAATAGACGACAAATACATTATTTCCTAGCTTTCTTGTAGTGGTGTAGAATCTGTCTACTCCGACCATTTTCACTACCTAAACTCAGAATGAATCTCTATTTCAACAATAGATTTGAACTTTAGGAGGGTTAAGGTTAGACGACAAATACATTATTTCTTAGCTTTCTTGTAGTGGTGCAGAATCCGTCTACTCTGACCATTTTCACTACCCAAACTCAGAATGAATCTCTATTTCAACAATAGATTTGAACTTTAGGAGGGTTAAGGTTAGACGGCAAATACATTATTTCCTAGCTTTCTTGTAGTGGTGTAGAATCTGTCTACTCCGACCATTTTCACTACCCAAACTCAGAATGAGTCTCTATTTCAACAATAGATTTGAACTTTAGGAGGGTTAAGGTTAGACGGCAAATACATTATTTCTTAGCTTTCTTGTAGTGGTGCAGAATCCGTCTACTCTGACCATTTTCACTACCCAAACTGAGAATCAATCTCTATTTCAACAATAGATTTGAACTTTCGGAGGGTTAATGATAGACTTAGGTTTCCCATCTATCAGGACCACGTAGTTTGGACTAGCTATCCCTACCTCCACGAACTTCACAGAGCACCAAACAAAGCAGTGACAAATAGGAGGAACGGGGGCAAAAGATTGCAGTGTCTAAGAGATGAGCCAAGCATCTAATAATATATATATATATGAACTTGATACAACAAGCAGCCTGTTCTGCCCTACTTCCTTGAAACAGCGGTATGATAATAAGATACAAGACGATACTATCAAACCGGCTGCCTCTCCTAATTCATCCAGCCCTTCTTTCTGTTCAATCAACAATGTTAACTTCAAATCTGCCTCGCACATCCCAATAGAAACCTTTCACCAATTAACCGTGTTTACCGAAAAATCATCAAACGCATAGCCAAATCGTTTATTCTTAAAGCAAACCTCTTTTACTCTGCGATCCAACTCGATCCTTTTACTTCACCACCCCTTCCCCATCTTTCTTTCTGATGAGAGATCTCTAATGATAATCATGTGCATCAACAGAAGATTGCACAAGGACAAACAAAGGCTTGTCTCCCAGACGATCACGACCCTGATACACACAAGATATAGAGAACGTCAGTAAGAAAGAATGGATGAAAGGATCGTATCTTATTAACATGGCAGAGATGCTCAGCGTTACCTTCAGCTCAGGCAGCTCCATGAGACAAGCGCACTCATGAACTTCAACCCCAACACGCTCTACGGTGAAAAGAAGCCAAATATTGATATGCTAAGATTGATGTAATGAGTTGAAAAGAGATGAGAGGCAATCATTTGCAGGACATATAAAACGTCAATTATACACACTGAGCAATCTGAAATGGAGGAACTTCACAGGGATCAAGCAGACAAAGCACATACCTAGGAGCCTGATTGCAGCAGTCAATGTCCCACCAGTTGCTATGAGATCATCAACTATCAGTGCACGTTCACCAGCTTGTACAGCACCAACATGCATTTCGATCTTGTCCGTGCCATATTCCAGAGAGTACTCTTCCGATATAACCTCTCCTGTAAAAAGATTCAGCATCAAGCCATGAGAGCAATGGGTTGTTTATTTGAATCTTGCTAGTAGCACTACAATACAGCACTCGAACAATTGCACACCATCGATCGGGTAAAAATCGAAACAAAATCTGGAAACTTTACCAGGTAGCTTCTTGGGCTTCCTCAACGGGACAAACTTCGCGCCAATGGCCAATGCAATTGGAGGGCCAAATATGAACCCCCTTGCTTCAATACCTGCACCATGTAAACATACACATCAGACACATTCTTGATTATTACGTCATTCAGCCACCAGGACATGTGAGATAAAGCGACTAGGATATTAAACCAAGTAATCAATTAGGTTACACCATTAGCTAAACTACATCTGCAGAGTCCAAAGGAGGATCTTTAGGAATAGTTGAGATGAGAGGCTGTATGGCTGATTGATGGGAGACAAGGCAAGGAGCTATCCATTTCAGTTCTGCCTTAACAAACTTTCTCAATTGCAACCCCCAGCAACCACGGATTGACATTTTTACAACTTGCAGCTGAGTTCCTACTTCCTAGAGGAAAGTCTACACCAACATTTCCATAAGTATACCAATCAACACGGGACTGCCATGGTTTTTCCCACTAAGCAATCCAAATTCGTAACAAACAACACTGATCTAATGAATCCAACATACTAACACTTGGTATTATTAATATCCAGAGAATTTCTATTTTAGGTCAACTATTTGAAAAGGCAGCTGGGGAAGTAGCCTTCCAATAAATGCAGCAAAAATCATCCATTAGGCATGAAAGAACGCAGATCAAGTCAGACGGGAAGAATTCAAATTACCAGCGACGACGGAGATGCCTTTGTCCTTGTACCGGTCGACGAACAAATCGATAGTATCCCTGAACGCCTTCACGTCCAGAAGGAGCGTCGTTATATCCTGAAACATAATCCCTTCACCAGAAACCATCCAGGAAATATAAAACCATTCGACGATCAACTTTTAGTCAACGGAGATGCAGAGAAAGTAGCACAAACTAGGCACATGTAGCTACCTGCTTTGGGGAAGTCGGGAATAACTCGAATCGCGGAAGCGATTCCGGCGAGGCGAGGATCCTGCTGGTTGTCAGCTGTAGCCATTTCTCGATTCGGCGGCAAGCGTGAGTCAGCGGCTGCTCAAAGACCAAAGTTCAGTAGAGGGTCAGAGTGAAGAAGTAGCAGGCAGGAGAAAGCAGAGGCGGGCGAAGGAGAAAGAGTAAAGAAGAAGAAGCAGCCGACGGAGCAAATAGCATATGGACGCGTAATCAAACGGCCCACGATTCAACTGTAAAAGTGGCCAATTCGAAATACCCAAATTGCCCTCCTCCTATATATCCTAGGAAAAAATGCAAAATGAAATGGCGTCGGAAGCGACGGTGGAGAGAGGATCTTTACCGGAGCAGCGGAGAGAGATTGGAGTGGAAATGAGGTGAGGGCGGAGAAGCGAAGGAGGAGGGAGGATGCAGGAGGAACTGGGCGGCGGCGGGGAAGAGGAGGAGGAGAAGAAGGGACGGCGGAGGAGGGAAGGAGTGCGGATCATAATTATAGTAGGGCCGGGGAAGGGCGAAAGGAGGCAATTCCTAATTAGAAGGTGTTTGGCGTTTAGAGAAGGAAGAAAGTGGGTGGCTGCTCTCCTGCTCATGCTTATGTCATTCTTGTTTGGTTAAATCACCATTTGGTCACTAAATTGTGTATTTTTCTCGAAATGGCTCATGTACCATAAAATATGTGTTTTTTGGTCCCTGCATTATGTTACAATTTTAAACTTCGTGTTTAGGACTAACAATTTTACCTATATCCATAGAATTTTTAGTATCTAACCAATTGGGTAGGGTATGAAATCCAAATTGATGGTAAATTGGTAAAATTTGATGGGTTTGTACCCGTAACCATTTTAGGTTGGATTTTTATTCATGGATTTGGATATGTACCCATATCCATTTATAAATTACAGTTTGGTACCTAAACTTAATAGATCTTTATATTTAGTATCTAAATTTAATTTTTTGTATATGTAAGTCCTCAAAATATCGATTGTAAATTATGTTTTCATACCTTTTTTGTGTAATATTTTGGTACCTAAACTTTTTAAGTTTTGCAAATAAGTTCAATTTTTGTATGTTTAGTAAAAATACTCTTCAGTAAATAGATATTCATATCCAACTCATAATCATTTAAAGTATGGAAGCAATATCCATATTCTACCCAAAGGCCAAACCCATACAGACTTCCCCTATACCCTACCAGTAATCTATGAATCTAGTTGGGTTTGGTTAAATTACCCATGGGGGGGGGGGGGGGGGGGTAATTGTCATCACTAAACATGTTCTCCATTTAAGATTTGTTGTTACCATAGAACTGTCATACAGATTTAGGTCACACAGTTCATGTGATAGGCCCTATCGCTCCCGCTTTGAAGCGCAAAAACGCGCTTTTGATTGAATTTGCGAAAAATTGGTGATTTATTAACTATCGGAGCATGTTTTTTGTAGAGAAAATCGCGAGTGCATTTTATCAGGACATAGCAAAAGAGCCAAAGAGTAACTGTCGGCGATGGTGGCTGTCGATTTGGTGAAGAAGATGGAATTGTTGGTCTGGTTCATGGAGGGAGCAAGATAGAGGTCAGATGTACATTTGGAAGAGATTTTTTTATCACAGAGAGATCTTGAAATGTGGATGAGGATCTAGATCAGTGGTCATGGCCCGATTTCACTATTCAAGCACAAGCTGAGTTACCTGAGTTTTGGGGAACAATCATTGGATCTTGTTTGCGTTTGAAAATACTGGAAGTTTGTATGAGGAAGATGGACGATTTGTCGATGGGGAAGTAAAAGGTGTTGAACCATGAGATTGAGGTATGGATTGTGGACATGTGAGGGGAAGTTTCAGAAGAATCGAGAATTTTTTTCTAATTAGGGGGTGAAGGGGAGTGGCTTAGGTTTTGGTCTTGAGCTGAACAAATCAGAATATGGGTTTATGGTTTTCGGGTTATAAGAACCTCAACCCATATTCTATTTTTCGGGCAGATTCGGATTAGATTAACGGTCGAGTCCTGATTTGCCAGGTCTATTGCAGTTTGTTTGGTCCTCATCTTCAAGAAGGATCGATGAGATCTACTTGGCATGGCATATAATGCCTCAATATTTAGTGAAAATTGTATGGGAGCTAGTCGTCCCAAAGAGAAACAAGTTATGTTGGTTTAAATGCTCTCTGGGATGGGATCCTTCATCCTTGTGGTCTCTATAAGTTCTTTTCCTTCCGTACGTAGTTTTTGTAAACGTACTGCTAATCTTGACCGGAGATGCCTAAGTTGGCATAAGCTAATCAAAACTAAGTTTGTGTTGACCTTCCTAACTTCTTCAAGCGACAAAGCGGCAGCAAGGCGGGCAGCTTCTGCTTCACTAGTTTCATTGAAGAAGACAGGGATGCTCGGCTGGTGATGACTCGATATTTGCACATGTTTTCCCTTTTGTTTCTTGATCGTTTATGCTTGCATTATCGCTTCTTTGGCCTATTTTACGCTAGGTTGTGTTCCTTTGTCATATTTCAGGTCCTAGCACATAAAGTGAAGCATAGGCGCAAGTTTCCAATCAATCGGAGATCAATTGGCGACTCGGGGGAAGAAACTCGGGTATGACTTGAAGAAGAATGGATTTATATCTCAGTTTGTGACCATAGAATCATGAAATCTTGTCATGAGAAGAAAGAAGACGAGACTACGAGCGTCTGGGATCAAACGGCACCTCATTTGGAGTCCGAACGAGAGAGAAACGAAGAATCAACAATTGGGGACCCGAAATTGAAAAATACCCGCCCAGTAGGTTAAAAATACCCGACCGGGGATTTTTGCCATCTGATAGGGGATTTTTGACAGCATCATAAGGCCCCCCGGCCGGGTACCCAAAATACCCGACCGGGTCACGAACGCAGGCTGTTAAAAGCCTGTTTTGTGCGTTTTTTGAGGGGGGGCAGGGAGCTGGGTTTTGGATCCCAAACACCCAAGGGACGAACCAAAGAGAGAGAGGGCGATTTGAAGGCATTCTTGGAGTGGAATTGGAGGATTTCTTCGCCTTGGAAGCTCGAGGAACAAGCCCGAACTTGAAGACTGATCATCTGAAGATTCTTACTGCAATCTCTCTCTTCTATTTTTTTTTTTTTTTGAAAGGATCAATTTGATTGCAAATGGGTCAAGCCCAATAGAAAAGTACATATACAAACAGAAAGCAGAAAAGACTAGAGAAAAAAGACTCAAGCTCACAGACCCAACAAAAGAATGGAAACCCAATAGGGCCCAGACCAAGCCCAACCCGAGTCCAAATTCCCAAAACCCTAGCTGCCCAATCTGTTTGTCCCTTGATCCCTCACCGCCGCTGGCTGCCCCATGCAAACCTTCCTCCCAATCCATGGAACGGTGACCACACTTGCACCAAGAAAGCACACCGAAGCAGAACCACCCCGGAAAGAGGACAACGGGAGGCGCACGATCCACCTCCGGGCGAAGCCTCGCCAAACCAAACTCCGAAAGCTCCCCAACAACGAGAACAGCAAGAGAACCTTCGATCGAGAGGGCTTCTGGTGACGAAATCTTGGTGATGAACTTCTGTCTTCAGGATCTTCTCTCCGAGTCCAGGCTAAGCGCCGCATCTCCGAAACACCAAACCTGCAAGGTGAAGCAAGGAGGTGGACGAAAGGAGAGAGGAGGAGAAGACAAGCCGAAACAAAGAAGAATCCGCCTCAATTTGCATCAAAGAAAGACATCATCTCCAGATCTACAACAGATCAGAGGGCAAAACAACATCCCAACAAGGGGGAGGAAGAAAACCCACAAAGGGGAAAAGAGATCCGCACTAAAGCTGGAACATGCAACAAGGAAAAAGCAGAGAAAAAACAAAACTAGATACAGAGGACAAATCGGAACAGGGGAAGCAGGGAAGGAGATGGAAGGGAAGCAGGGGAAATGAATGGGTTGCTGCCGGTCACCAGGGGGTGCCGGTGGCACCCTTTGAAAATCACAATAGGTTACAAGTGAGAAGGGAGAGAATTCAAAAAAGGAGAGAGTTGATGGTGGCATAATCTCTCTCTTCTCTATGGAGTAACTTCCCTTCACTTAGGTTTTGAGGAACCCTAGCTATGTTTGTTTGATTGGATGATTGTATGAGTACTCCTACTTGATAATCTTGAGTTAATATTCAATCTATGCACGTTCTTATGATTCAATTATGCTTTAGTCGAGATTATTGATTCTGCTTTGATCTTATGAGAGCGAATACCTGATTAGGTCAATAGAGCACCATAGATTGATAGTATTGGATCGATTGATTTAGTCGAGGATCGATTCACTACTTTGTATCGATTGAGAACCTCATTCGATAGAGGGAGTCTAGTTTAGAACGTCTTGATCGGTTGTTCTTGAGAAGGATACGTCCCTCTAGGCAATCGACTCAAGAGGACCTTGATCCTTTAGTCGAGATTCAAGGTCTAGTCAAGGATTCTCCGCATTGTGAATGAAAGTGAAACAAGTTAGAAATCATCAATCATTAATTTGGCTAGTGGCTAGGGGGAATCATACCTAAGTGAGTTCCCAACATGTAATTAGATTAACTTTAACTGTAGTTTGTTAGAGTAGTTTTAGTTCTTCCATCTTAATCTGGTTTGCTAGATAATGAACTGAAGCTGAGTAATAGTAACTCTAGAGACCCGTGGATTCAATATTTATTACTTGAGCCACTATACTGCAGTCCCTTTCATTGGTTACACACTTGGCCATTGTTAGGAGTTGTGTCATAGCTAGTCAGCTGGACAACACAGTCGTCGGTATACAACCTGAGGAAAAACTCTTTGGCTTGTAAAATGAATGACTTAGGATCCACTTTGCTATTTTTATGGGTTTGCAAATAGCAAGAAGTGCTAAGGAACATACTACCTAGGAAAATTTATACGAGACATTATTACAGATGTTGGATTGCTTGCTCGAAAGACCTCATAAGCTCCTTCTGAGCCAGACACTAGAATGTAATACCTACCGTTTAAGGTTCCATAAAAAGTAGGGGTGGGCATTGGGTGGGTCGGGTGGATTTTGACCATAAAATGCACCCACCTGCGCTTAAACGGATTGATAATTTTTAACCCACCACCCACCCACATTTAGTCTCGGGTTGGGTCGGGCGGATGGTGGATGATTTGGGTGGGTTTGTGGGTTCACCCACATCACAATGTATATAATATAAAGGAGTCAACTTGACATGATAATAGGCGAAGAGGGTTATCTGGGGAAACAAGAAGATGAAATAGGGCGAAAAATGTCGAATTAGTTCTTAAAATGGATAGAAATTCTATTATGAAAGAGTTTTCTACAGATTGAGATGATTATCAGGTGCAAGGAACTAAGAAAAATAATTCCACAAAGGAAAGAGCAGTGATCTAGGCACAAGAATTAGAGGAAAAAATAAAGGGAAGAAGAGGGGATCACTATTTGGAAGGTTGGCTTTGAGGTTCAAACTCCAGGAGCAGTCCTAGTTTATGTCTAACGTCTCCACTCTCCCCTCTCTAGCACCGACGACTTTGATCTTTTTGCTGTTGGGTTGAGCGGGTCACCCGCGCACCCACCCACAACCCACCCATCACCCGGCGGATGGCTCCCAGCGCAACCCGTCACCCACC